CGTTTTTATGATAAAAACTGTCTTGCTCCTCAAAATAGCCATTAACTGCCGGCACTACTTCGTCATCGTTTGAAAATATTTGACCACTGAGCTATTTCTTCAAGTTTGGGAACAGAAAATGATCCAAGGGGACTAAATCTGACTAATAAGGTGCATGATGTAGCAATTCAAACTTCATTTCGTAAATTTTAGTCATTGCGATAATGAGTTTGTGAGCTGGTGCAATGTCTTGATGAAACAACACTTTTTCTCAACCAAATGCGGCCGTTTTTGCTTGATTTATTCAACCAAACATTGCCGAAAGTTCGCATAATACTCGCCGTTGATAGTTTTAATTTTTTTAAGATAGGCAATGAAAATATCCCACGCGTATCCTAAAAAACCGATGCCATGACCTTGCCTGCAGATGAAATGGTCTTCGCGTTCTTTGGAGTCGGTTCTCCCTTTTGAGGCCACTGTTTTGATTGTTGTTTTGTCTCGGGTGTAAAGGAATGATTATGAAACGACGCAATAATTCTGCTTTGTTGCTGTGAAAAAGCAATATCAGGAATGATATCAGGATCATACGGGTATATTCTTGTTGCACGAAAACCTGAAATAACATTTGATGGTGCAGTTGCTAGTGCCACACTTTTGAGAAAATGAGGCCAAACGAAAATTTATTGATTGTTCGTTCTGGTTTATTTGTCCAGTATGTGATGACTTCGTCATCCCAGTAAGATTCGAATGCTTTACACACCGCCTTATCCATAGGTTGTAATTCATGTGTGCAATTACTTGGCAGGCAGAAGAGCGAAATTTCGTGGGACTTGGCTGCACCGACAATACCTGCATCCAAATGAGATGATGCTCCATCAAAAATTAGCAGTACTCTTCCTTCTGGTTTGTACTTAGCAAAATGATGTACCAACTTAATAAAAGTTGGGGTAGTCATACTTCCTTTCTCTGTCATCTCAATAACTGTCCCAGCAGGTAGATTGTCGTGCCATTCATTCTTCTTTCTTTTTCCTTTGAACAATATCATAGCTGGAATAA